CATGTGACGCTTTGTTTGGGGGGAGAACTTCTCCTGCAGTATTACAGTATAAATCAAAAGTTAAAAAAGTTCGTTACGCCGTAAGCAAAAAATATTTGATACATACGTTGACACATTTATGAAGCTTAAGATATGTTACAACCCAGGACAGAGAACTGTTATGAAAGCATTATTAAATTCTTTATGGGGGAAACTGGCACAGAACGAGGATACTAGTGTCGTGTCATTTGTTGATAGTTTAGATGATTTATTAGAAATGGTAAATGATAATAGCATTGAGGTTACATCGTTGGATTTTATTAGTAATGATATTGCTAGAACTACACACAGAAAAGGAGCATCTTTAGTGCTGCTTCCAAATAGAAATTGTTGTAATTGCATCATTTGTTACAGCATATGCAAGATTAGAGTTATTTGAGGTGATTAATAAACTAGGTGAAAGTGTTTTATATTTTGACACCAACTCTGTGATATATGTAGAGGATTTAAGTAAGGGTCATATTTTAAAAACGGGACAGTATTTAGGGCAGATGACAGATGAATTAGAGGAGAAAAACTGTAGTGAAAAATGGATTGAACAGTTTTGTTCCACGGGCCCTAAATCTTATTCATTTTGTACAAATGAGTACACAAGAACTAATGAAGACGGAACAAAAACAAAACAGCGTGACGAAATTACACATGTAAAGGGGTTTTCCTTAAAAGGAGATACAAAAAGGAAAATAAATTTAGAAAATATGGTTAAATGTATAAACAACAAAAAGAAAGAAATTCATACGCATTATACAGAATTTACTAGGGGTAATAGTCAAACTATAAATGTTCAGGAAAAAGTTAAAACATTTCGTTTTACTTTTGATAAGCGCATTATATGTGATGATTACACAACAAGACCCTACGGGTATAGGGGTTAATATTTGTCATCTGATCATGTTCTTTTGCGATCTTCTTTTGTAAAAAACAAGGAAAAATTCTTCATTGAAGCATTACGATTGATATATTACTAGTATGAATATCACAATGTGTCTAGCTGCTTCTTTCTCTTTTCTTTTTCGTGTGGGCAGAACTAATACTGGAGAACCACTTGTTCCTTCTTTTGTTTTGGCTGCGACATTTTGTTTAGGCGTCGGTTTTTTTCATGCTTTTCTTTAATGGCAGCTCACGAAGCTTTAACACAGGTGATCCACTTGAGCCATGAAAACAGGTTGAAAAAACACTTGTTCCGCTTTTGTCTTGACTTTTTCCTTTTTTTGTTTTGGCGTTGTCTTTTCTTGCTTTTCTTTAATAGCCACCGCTCGGAAACTTTAAACACAGGCATCCCACTTGAGACCCAATTGTCTTTGCTTTTCTCTGTTGTTGCTGCTAGTTTTCTCCTCAGCATTTTACTCGCGAGTCTTCCGCTCTTTCCTTTAACATTCAGTTCCCTGCTTGTTCATTACAATACCTTTAATTCCATCAAACTGGGTTTTTTTTTGATTATATACGGGTATTTTTTTATTGCGGTTAGTTTAACAGCAAATTTAGCTTGTTTTTCCTTTGAGTACAGGTTAGGTATCGTTTTCGCAAATCTTTCGACCATTGTTTTGTCAATTATCTTTGCTTTTTTCTGGTGCTGTTACTAGTTTTCTCTCTTCAGTTTTTTTCGCAGATCTTCGGCCGAATGATATACTGGTTTTCTTTGGATTGCACAGGTCCGTTCGGAAGTGCGCGGCCCAAATTTAAGTTGTCTTTGTCTTCTACGTAATCGTTTAGGTCCTTGGTTGCTGTTTTTAGCTTGCTATTTAAATTTCGCACAATACCTGTGTTTTCTTTCGGAACTTTTTTTCCCATAAAATGGATTCTTCTTTACACGCTGCATTAACGGTCATCGATTTCCCATTGCGGTATTTTTTGCATTAGCATTCATCCATTCTTTGTTTATTCATCTCTTCTTGACTATCAAGTTTCAGCTGATGTTGTTGTTGTTTTTTTGTTGCTCATATTTGTTTTATTTTTTTTTGGCAGTGCTTTTCTTTATCTGTTCAAGTGCTGTTTCCTTTTAGTTACACTTCCTGCAGGAATTGGCTTCTTCTTTCTTCTTATTTTGCACTTTCTTTTTTTTCCTTGTTTGTTTCAGCGTCACACATTTTGTTTGAGGTGATGAATCGAACCAAATCGCTTGATGTGTTTGCTTTTTAGCCATTTTGTGTGGAATGTGGTTTATTGACAATTTTCAAGGACAATTTCTTTACCTTGGGCGTCAGTTAGTTTCCCTTTTGATGTGTAGTTAACTTTTTTCTTTGTACTAGAAAATTGCATTTCTGGTTCTGAACGTGTGTATTGCTTTTGCAGTAGTCAATTGTTTGTCATTTGGTTAACCATTTGTTTTAGAGGTTGAATATATATAGTTATCTTTAACTAACTTTTATGTATATCTTTGTGGCAAACTATTTGTTGTATACTGCGAAGTTTTTGTTCGCGTTCTTCTTAACTTTGATCCTTCTGGCGTGTTTTTTTGTTCTTTACGTTTTGAGGGTTTTTTAGGGGTTTATCATTGTAATATCTTTGAATTTTCTCTCTTTATCAATGCCTTTTCAGTGATTCTTTTGTTTTTTCTTGTGTGAAGTTCGTTGTGCCATTCAACATTTGAAATTTTTGCTTTGAGGTTCGTTGCCCGTTGTTTCTAAAAATTTGCAGTTTCGGTGATTCGTGCCCTTTGTTTTTAGTTTCAACGTTTTGACGGGTTTGGGTTGTTTTAGAAGATTTTTTTTTTTTCTTTTTGGCATGGCTATCCCATATTCTGCAATACGGGTAAAATGCCTTTGTGACGTTCCTGTTCTGCAGCCTTTTTTTTTTCTTTTCTCCTTATATATATCTTATTGCAGAGCGGCAAGTATTTAGATCTTGATATATGAAGGCATTGTTTGTACAAGCTAAATTTGTAAAACGTGTGTTGTAATTTGACATATGCATGTGAATACCTTGGACCTTTTGGCACGTTTTTCCAGTAGCTATTTTCTGGTTTGTTTCATATTTTTGAATATTTTGTAGAAAAAACATTTTCTCTGCTTTGCTAGGCTTTTTACATCCTTTCACTTTCGGCTATCAATCACTTTGTTGAAATCTGGCGGGGTATTCAAATTTCAAGTTCATCAGTGCTACATGTTGTTCACTAGCTATATTGTCTGCCCCTTTTTTAAAATGCAAATGCCGTGTGTTCCCGCCCTTTTCCTTCATTAACCAACTTTTTGTTTGTATCTGGATTGCCGATTTCTTGGGTTCTGTATGTAGGACAGTATGTAGGATTGTTACAGGAATGTCTATTGGTTTTTCTTTTACGATCTTTTAATTTTTTTATTCACATTTGTAAACGCAAATTTGTGAAAGATTTCATCTTTTCTTGGTTAATTCTTTGTTGGTTGATTTCTTTTTGAAGGAGATTTTACCCTGTTTCTGATTTTTGATTGTTGTTGTTTGTTGTTGCAATAAGTTCTTTCATTACAGTCGAATTAGAGTTTTTTGCGGTAGTAAATGAAGCTTCTTATTTTCTCCCATTTATCTTGAAGCTTGCGTTCTGTGTTCGTTTTGGCTTTGAATGTGACGCCGACCTTAACGATTGGAATGTTTCCTTTTTCTCTCTGCATTAAGCCGGATTTTCTTGGCTTTCCATATTTCATGTTTGCCATATGTGTGTTTGATCTTTTTTCTTTTTGTGCTTTAAATTCGATTTCTCCGTTTTTCACAAAATTTCATATATAGTGGTTTAGGTGATGTCTTTTATCTGCAATCTGAATTTCACGTACTCTTAATAGCTTGTTTTGTGTTTTCTCAAACAAGAACCTATTATTATTTTTTTAATATTGTTCTCTCTGATTTCGCACCACCTTTTACCTAATCCCGAAGATCAGTTTCATCGCTGGGTGTGTGTTAAATATCGTTAAATGGATTACCCGTTTATTTTTGTACTATCATAACCGTCCCAAAACTGTTTCAGACCTCAACATAAATTGCCCCCTAGTATTGGAGATTTTGCTATATTGTAGTATCATTTTGCATACCACCCCCCTTGAGTTTGTCTAAATTCATTAGGGTATTACTCATAATTTTCTTACTCTTTTGTCCGCAATGCAACACATTGCAATTTACGCGATACCAATAGGTACAATACGGTTTTAACCAACAACATTGCAATACATTTATAACAAAATAAATATACATACCAATAGGTACAATACAGTTTTAACCGACAACATTGCAATACAGTTATAACAAAATAAATATACATGTACCAATAGGTACAATACGGTTTTAAGCGACAACATTTACCAATAGGTACAATACGGGTTTAACCGACAACATTGCAATACATTTATAACAAAATATATCTTTACCAAGAGCACACAGTATTTCACCCAATGTCATAATAGCATTGACTTTAACCGGTGTCACATGAATCTTCTTCTTAGTCTTTTTCTAGTTTATTTTTGGGTGCTTTAGCTGCTAAGTGCAATTAAGCGCATTGTTTTGACATTCCTTTGATTAAGCCCCGTAGACAGGTTTAAGGTTTCTAATAAATGTCCATTTAACTTTTGCTGTATAGTCTGAATAGTTCAGGCAGTGTATTTGCTGCTTAGAGTTACTATTATTGTCAAGGGGGAAACAATGGTTTACCAAAAGTTCATCTATCCAAGCAATAGGTTGATTGATAGGTTAAATTCAACACACTTACACAAATGTTTACGTCCTGACCGATTTTCATTTTTTTGCCTCAATGATGATGAAGATTCCAAAGTTGATGTAGTTGTTTTTGTTAAAGGATGCTTTTTAAAACACACGCTGTTTTTGTTTTTTCCAACGTAAAGTTCAACGCCTCCTTCTAAAATGTCAAATCTTCATTTTCGAAAGGCGTTTGAGTTTTTTTTTCGTCATTTTGTACGTGGTTTACAAAACCCCTTTCATTCTTTTCTTACCAGGGTAAAAAGCTGAAATTATGTACAATACCCTTTCAACACCCTTTTATGATGACTGTTTGCGGACCATCACAAAGTGGAAAAACACGATATATTATGAACATAATAAAACACAATCAAACACTTATTGAACCACCGCCGGACAAACTAATATACTTGTACTCTGTAGAACAAACGGATTACGACGAAATAAAAACACACATACGCGACAACACAAATTATTCTACATTACAAACTTACGAATTTCTGGACTGTAGTCAAGGAATAAGGCCGTGGGATGAAATAAAACCAAAGCTGGGTAAAGCAACACTTTTAGTTTTGGACGATTTGATGATTATTGGTGCGTCAAACAAAATTAATCTTGAAAATTTAAACAATATAGCCTCACGCGACAGCCATCATTCCAACACCTCGGTTATTTTTGTGTGTCAAAATTTAAATTATGGTTCGGGAAAATTACGAAATTGTCGTGTGAATAGTCAATACCACACAGTGTTTAAAAGTCTTACAGACTCTAGAGATATGGAAATGGTTGTTGCAAATAAAAAAATTCCCTTGACATTGTTACACAAAATTCTTGCCGATGTAGGAAAAAAACAATATGGATATTTAGTTTTTGATGGCTCACCAAAAAGCTATGCAAATACACGTGTAAGAACAAATATATTCCCCGAAGACGAAACTACAATATATGAAACTAACAATGATGTGTAAACTTGGGAATTTTTTTAATAAATATACAAATAAAATAATTATATAAATGTAAATACGCAAAAAACAATGAATAAAATTTATTTATACAAAACCGTGTGTTTCTAAGTATGTTTTACACCCTATGTGATTGCATTGGCTACGATTAAATAAATTTAATTTACAGCCTAATTGTTCAAAGTATTTTAACCAATAGTTTTGTTTAAAAAATTGAATCGTTTTTCCATAACTGTCGAAGAAAATTATAGTTTGTCCGTTTTTTAAAATTGCTATCCAGTGTGATCCGGGCTTATCCTGCTCGTCAATGTTCCATATCCAACAACATTTTTTACACACATTGTTTGGGTACACGTCTGCTGGATAACAACCCAAGTAATTTTCAATTGTTGAATCTCGGGTTGCAATATTGTCAATATCGTCGGTATTTAAAAATTTACTAATAAAACAAGTTAACTCCACCATAGTTTAATGGGTGTTGCCCAAAGAATCAAAGTATCCTTCTAACATATAATCGCGTTTTTGTCCAAGTTGTCGGGTTGTTTTAGGTCGACCATTGGGTGTTTCAAAGGTGGGTCCCTTTTGAAAGGCGGGTCCAGCTTGTTCTTGTGTTGCATGTTCAATATCGAGATTTTTATACTTTTCACGTAAAAGTTTATTTCATATGTATTTAGTGGGCATATTGGACTTTTTTAAAGTACGTAGCATTTTATCATGTTGTGCGTTGGTTAAATTTGTATTTTTAGAATTCTTTGTCAAGTCTTCGATCATATCCTCGTATGAGAAATTCATTGTTTTACCCTGATATTTTACACCTTTAGCTGTATCCGTAATACCCTTGTCTTTCATATGAGTTGTTATTAATTTTTCATGATATGCTATTGTACCCGCAACCAAAGCTTTTGCAGCAGCCCCATCGGCGTTGTTGTTGTTTGCGGGTTGTGGATTCTGAGGTTGTACCGCTGTTTCATTTAAATATTTATCTTTTTTACGCAAAAAATTCACAATATCTGTATCTGCTAATGAAGATTTATTTTTCACACTTTTATGCATGTCAGCATAACTATTTACAAGTTCGGTTTCTGTAGCTGTTTGTTTAACATCACTTAATAGTTTTTGCCGCTTTGATGTCTGTTCTAAAAGTGTCATAAGACTATTGTACCGTTCGGCGTCGATTACCGCTAGATGTTTTACGTTTTCCCCCATGCTCTTTTTCTACGTTATCTAATGCCTCGCGTAAATAAAAATGTAAACGCCAATCTTCTAACAAATGTAAATGCACATCCATCTTTGACGTGGTCTTATCAACAATGTAATGCATTAAACCCATATCAGCGCGTGATATATTTTCGACAAGAATTTTTTTATTTACAATTTGTTGACAAAGGTACAAAAGATTTTTTGTGACCGCAGGTGTTAGTCGTTTTGTTCGTTCTTCAAAACTTGAATTAAGATATTTTTTGGTGCTTGGTACAAACGCATTTTGTTTACACTTGGCATTGGATATACGTTTTGCCTCAATAATTTGTTGTAATAAATCTCGATACATTTCCCCTTCAACATCACTATCGCTACCGCTAATATCCATATTGTAAACATTAGAATTATTATTATTGTTATTAATGTCAATGTTTTTGTTATTTTCGTCATCATCATCATCAACATCATACCAATATTCATTGTCATAATCATGCATTGCTATATCGTCATTTTCATTATTTTCGTCTGTTTGTGGAACAATTTCTTCTTCTTCTTGTTCACTATTGTTTTCATTATTATTTTCTGGGTCAACAGTAGCATTGTCCTTCTTTTTTGCCGTGGTTAAATCTGGAAGTTCACTTTTTTCAGCCATATTTTGAAATTACAGGTTTTATATGAATTATACATACACTTGCACCACCGGAACCAATTTTTCTAAATATATTATCGCCCGGTGCTTTTATGCTGTTTCGCGGTGTTACTTTGCAACTAGACTGTTTAGCCTGTTTCTTGCAGGGCATTTTGTACACAAATGTGATAAGCTTAACAACGCTTTCTGTATTTAAAAGTCATATTTCGTGTGTGCTTGATTTTGATAGCCAACAAACAATTGATTACGAAATTCCGCAATGTTGATTAATTGATATTGATGTGCCAAAGGTTGATTAAACCTCATTTCCAAACTTATTACACCGATGGTAGAATTTGGTAAAACCTGATTAAAACTATCTTTATTTTCTGACAAATCAGTTACAATAATACCGTAACTGCTTTGATAATCCTTGTGAGAAAATGGCATTTCATCATAGCGACGATTCAAAATGGTTCGAAAATTACGATATGCTTCACGAGAATTTTGAACCAAAGGTTGTACAAAAGCCTCGTTAATTTTTAATCCATAAAATTGTAAATCAGGGAATGCTATTAAATTAGGGTTAAGGTTGTGTGCGCCATTATATCTAGTTTGCAATTTCATATATGTGATAACCCTTGTGGGGCGTGCACCTGTAAATAGATCATTTAAATCTATGCGTTGTGTTTGTGCCAACACAGGTGTGGGTACAAAACGATGGGTTGTTACATAATATTTACCCTCTTCACCATTTTGAATCATTGCCTGATTAATTGCTTGACTCAATTGTAATTTTGGTTTCATACCCGGAATAGTAATTTTAAAATCATCAAAATGAACATTTGCCGCACCACAATGTCCAGCATTGCCAAACAATATTTTTGTTTTATCAGCACAGCGTAAAATAATTTTAATTTCATGTGAGGTAGGTATAAACCGTTTGCTTTGACACATCAAATCAAGTCGGTCATAACATTCTAATGCTGTGCCCTGATTACACGCTTGGTATCTTTCATTGCACCTTTTTTACTAAAGTGTCTTCAGTAGCATCGTTGAGGTGTACAATTGAATCAAAATGACCTGGCGTGTCGTGAATGGCAAGATTAACTTCCTTTTCCGGCAAATAACCTGAGGGTACCTCACAAAGTAAATGATCTATGTAGGCAAGCTCATTTTCCTGCGTTGATATTGTATTTACCACTTGATTATTAAAAAATATTTCTTTTGTTTTCCATGCTGTACGTAACGGTAAAGGGTTTACGGTAACAATTTGATCGGCGCCAAGATTTGCACCATTATTCACTTTAAGACTAATTGTTGCTCAAATTGTTGCATCTTCTAGATTTAAAATACCGTAATCTTGCTTGTGATGTACAAATGTATACACATCAGATGTCGTCTCAGCGGGGTTCGCATTTAACGTAAAAACACGGTTGTCAACAAATGTATCATTGTGTGGAAATGTTTTAAACATTTGCATGGGTTCCATAAACCCACTATCATGTTGTTCAAAGGGTTCTGTGACGTGTGCTCGTTTCCTCATTGTGACGCAGTTTGCAAATGAGAATAGTAAAAAAAAAAAACAACTTGTGTTATATCATTTATTTACTAAAACCCTATTTTACATCTTAAATTTATTACTAATTACTTTACTTAAATTTATCGTTTTCGTGTTTGTAACCGTTTTGGAGCCACTTTTTTCTTGCTGTTGGAGGATGTTGATAATAACGTTGTTGTTGTTGTTGGGGCTGATGATACCGTTGTTGTTGTGGGGGTTGATAATAACGTTGTGGCGGGGGATAATAACGTTGTGGTAGTGGATAATAACGCAGTTGGGGTTGCGCACGTTGTTGTCTTCCACCACCATAATTATTGTTTGTTGTTTTCGTTTACCAAAAATACCAGGTAATAATTTACCTGCAGCCCCTAGTAACATGGGTAACGCCATACCCATACCTACACCTATAGCACCACCATTTTGTTTTTTTACGTAATCTATTACGACTGCCGTATTGTTTGTAATTAACCATATTAACCGTATATTTTTCGCAATACGGTGGGGTCTACTCGTGAAGTACGTGCTTCACGAACTTGGGGTGGTAATTGGCCAACTCTCCTAACCTTTTTATCGGGAACGTAATTCGGGTTTAAATTCGTCGGTGGGCTAACGTTGTCCAATGCTCTTTCTTCGTAAAGTAGATTACTGTTATTATATTTTATTCCTCGACCATGTATTAGTTGCATATAATCTTCTTTCTCCATGGGGGAAATTCAAACGAAACAGTCAGTCATTCATTCATTCATTCATTCATTCAGTCAGTCATACAGTAAACTTTCCGGGGGGTGTACGATTTGTGTTGGTAGTGATTTATTGTACTTAGTCAGTACTTTAAAGGTTATTTAGGCAATTTCAGTTTACTTATTCACATATTCTGCTATCCTTTTGCCAAGTTCACAAAAATTTCAAGGAATCGCTTTTGTATTGTAATTTTTTGTAAATTTTAAAACATTCGCTTCTCATGTTGTGTAAAGGATCTTTACCCCGGAACACCCGATTTTTCTTTAGTAACGCAAATGCGCATGGGCTATCAAGCCGTAGATCACGATGGCGTGACGATATGCTAGTAGGGAGTGATAGTGTTGTTTTCAGATGTATAAACATTTCAGACGTGGATATTGAGTAAATCTTTGAAAATCTACGCAATATATAAATTGATCTTATGTATTACAAGCGTTCAATTAAGTGCCGATCATATTTAGACGGTATATTCATATTATACAGAGCTAGGAAGGAGTAGACCGCCCAGACAGTGCAGTCAAGTGTATTAAACATTTCAGACGTAAATATTGAGTCGAATTTCTTTGAGATTCTAGACATTCAATTGAGTGCCGATATTATTATCACGGTATACTCATTATACAGAGGTACAGTACGTAGGCAGAAGCGAGACAGTGTTGTTTTCAAGTATATAAACATTTCGGACATGAATATTGAGAAAATCTTTGAGATTCTACGCAATAATACAATATATAAATTGATGTTGTGCATTACCGGCATTCAATTCAATTAAGTGCACATCGATATTATTTAGACCGTGTATTCATTATACATTGTCATTGACAGTATAAGCCAAGGTGTACACTCACTCACTCACTCACTCAGTACAAAGAGCGAAAAATTGCATCGGATCTGTAACAGATCAATAAAACATAAACAACTATTAAACAGAAACGGGTGTTTGTACTGCGTTTACGAAGAAAATAACTTGCGAGACTAAAGAAATCGGTTGAGCCAGAGCTCCTTATTTGAATAAGAAAGACGAGGAGATAGCCAATGTGTTATCGCCAACGTGTTATCGCCAATCGCTTGGCTCGCCAACAAGCTTTATACAATAGAAGAAAAAAGCAAGGAGGTACATGGTACATGTAGCCAACGTGTATCGTCACGGACCTTGTTTTATACTGTCTAGCACAACGCCGTTGTCAACGGTGCAAATTCGTGTTCAGTGCAACGATAACTCTACCAGATCTTACGAGAATCAATCTGTAGTATTCTGTACACGAACTGTATCAAAGCTTGTCAAAACTGCTTTAAACAATAAACATGCTATAACTGTGAAACTATTGAAATCTAAAGTGACATTATTCAAAACATGCGAAAAACTAAAAATAGACACAACGTAACACTGGGAAAAGTCAAAGGTCAATGAGACTTGTTATTGTGAAAGCAGTGAAACATGTCAAAATTAGGTTAAAATGCGGGAGCGGATCCACGGAACGGATATGCGGATAAAATATGGAACGGATGAGGATAAAATGCGTCCTTTTAATGATGTAATGACGTAGTGCTTATTATTCATAACATATCTTATACAGCTATTTCAATTACAGTTTTAGATAAATTTAGGATAGCAGTAGCCTCGTGGCGATGCTTTAGCGACAGCTGCAAATGCAAATGAAAATTTAGAATATGAAAAATTTGGTTGTTGGTGAAACAATTTAAATTTCGAATTGTCGCGTGTAGCATCGCAGTAAATAGATAAATTGCATCAGTTTCACAAGGCACGTTTCTGATGTGTTAGGCTTGTTTCAAACGTCACGCTGCTCGTGTGCCCAGCGTATTAAAAGCAATAAATAATAAGATGAAATGCCTTTGGTAACTGTTTATTTCGTAGTGTAAGCCATCAGCTTTTCTAGGTTGTCGGCGACCCTATATAGTTCTTGCAGTGTCTTTTTCAATTTGAAACTTCACACTATCCTTGGATCCCTAGTTTTACAACCTCATTCAATGCAATCTTAACGGACTATGACATTTGCGTGTGTGTGAGGGAGTTTTACTTATTATACGAAAAAAATATTAAATGTTAATATTACATGTTGCCCCTCGTTAGGTGCTAAACTATTTTCAGTACCGTCAGACCATTGTATTTTAAAAAGTACATTTTGGGCAATTTCTGTTTTGGCCCATTGAAATGTGTAGGTTTTAGATTAGCATTTTGAAAAATTTGACACAAGAATATTTCACGCCACGCCATACATTGTAGGGCGTTATTACTCATGGCAACATTATCCAGGTCTTCACCACCATATATTTTACCGCGACTATAAACACCATTCTATTTGCTTTTCGGCACCATTAGCTAGCCCACTAAAGTCTATTTTTTTTTAAAACAAAATTTTAAATGATACCCAGCCGCCAGAGAAATTAGTTTGCACATCTGCTAAATTAAAGTATTTAGGTTTATTTACAAGGTGTGTAAAAAAATTATTTTCATCATACAACGTGTATTCTGTGGGTACCACCTCTCGACTGATTATTTCAAATTTTATTTGTAACATTTTTTTTTACTCCACCACACACTCTATGCCTACAGTGCCTGCACTAAATTGAATTAGGTTATTTTCTATATCACATAGTTTTATATGCAGCTGTGCGATTTTGGATTTAATTAGGTCACGTGTTATAGGAGGCATTGTGTGTGTAAATATCTTTCCACTACCCATTTCACCCCATTGAATGTTTAATGTTCCTAATAACTGTGATTTTGTATCACCCACAACTGAATGGTTAACTTCGTCACAGTAAATAAAAATACGCGTTATTCCATTTGTCATATCCGGCACCCATTTGCCATAAAAAGTGGTCATGGCGGGGTCGTAGGGTAAGCCGGAGCTGCTGTATAGCATATATACAAATGCCATTAGAACTTGCAACTGTGTGTATCCGGTCGGGGTTTGTAAAGCATATTTCTCAACTGTAGGGTGTAATACCCAAGAACCAAGACCCAACATATATTTTAGTTGCTTTGTTAGTTCAAATGAAATATCGTTATCATTTTTAATATCGTACAATATTTCCCTAATATCATCATTGTCTTGGTATCTATATATAAACTGTTGTTGCATGTGTATAGAAACACCTACACGACCACCCTGCATCAATTTGAAATGTACATCGTATTCCTCTACATACGTGTTTAATGTTTCTATCATTTTTTCGAGAGTGTAAAACCCTGCGGGTAAATACATCCAATCAGTAGTATATCTGATTCTTTTGCTCTGACCTTTTGAAATTAAAGTAGCTACACTGTTTCAACGAAACAGAAAGAAATCATATGCAAGGCGTATACCACAACTTTTTTCATCAACATTTTCCATGGTTAACGGATAAGACACATTTAACACACGTATAGTTTTTTGATGATTTTCACCGTCTATGAGTTCCGGTAATGTGGATACAAATTTATTGTTAAAGTTTTCACCGCCAACTTTTATTTTTACGTTACTAAAAAGCTGTACATTCATTTTTTATTTACACTTTTTGTAGTTCGTCACGATAAAAAGTACCGCTAATGTTTTCACCTTTCTCGTCTTTTAAAGCATATGTTACAGGATCGGTGATAAATACCTTGTCTACTTTAAACAACTCATTTACCCAACGACGTAAACTTGATTTTTCAAAAATGTTGTTTTTTACACGTGCTATGCGAACTTGGTCCCCCACATGAAGTAAACGCTTAGTGGGTGTAGAATTGTTTAGTAAGGCCTTTAAAAACTTAAAAGTAAAGTCTTTGGGTATTTTTTGATGCACATATAAATCTACAGGTCTTGCACCGAATATACCCCGATGCGGTGATTTGTTGTACCTTTCAACTACTGCGGGTAAATATTTAATATATCTGTACCCGACATCAAGAGTTGTCAAAGTATGACGAATCATTAGTTTTAGGGTTTGTATAAATCGTTCGGCGTGAGCCGCTTTTATTTCTCTGTTTTGGGTGTGAAATACTTTAAATCCGTATATGTCAGATAGTTTTTTCTTAATTTGTGCAAATTCCGTACCCTCGTCAGCTTGAATTTTTTTAGGGTATTCCCCTTGTTCGGTAATAATTTGTTCAAATTTGTTACAAACATTGTGCGCGTTTTTGTTTTTCAATAATTTTACAAAAGCATACCGCGTGTAAACATCTACACACACAAGAATATATCTATATTGATTATTATGTGACAATTCATTTAAATATGCTAAATCAATACTCCATTGTTCATTACGTCTAGTTACATAAATTTTTAATCGTCTAATGGTAGATTTCTTTTTAGCATGCAATGAGTATGCAGTTTCTTGGTTTTTAGTTAATTTCTCGTTCTTGAGCAATCTTGCAGCTTTTTTAATTAATTCAACATCAACTTTAGTTTCTTTTCTTCTAACCATTTTCACTATAAAAAGTCAGGGTTTTTTTGCATTAATCTATAAATATAATTTATAGTTTTTTCTCGTCTCTTTACAAGCAACATATAATCATATTGATACAAATCATTTAATTCCTGATTGTGTCGTGCAACAGCTTCCTTAGCTGTTAAACCCTCGGGTTGCATATAAGATACAATATATGCATCAGTTGATTTTCTGTCAACTAAATAATAAACAATATTTGTCCTCAGTTTCTTTCCCACTTAATCAATTTCCAGCAGCCTCTTTGAAATCCTTAGAATGTTCAATAAACATATCATAATTATATTCATGTTTATTGTTTAATTCCTCTTTAAAACAAGTAATGGTTTCGAAACAGGATTTTCCAAATTTGCCCATATATGCAAGTACTAATTTTACAGCTTTTTGATTTTTTGTTTCATAGTCATGCGGTGGGGGTAATTGCAAATCAAAAATTATAGATTTGCTTACCTCCTGTTCGTCTTCAGTGCTAAGTAATTCCTTGTTTTTCTTTGCATGTTTGTTGCCGTTTGCTTGACCACCTTTTGTGTCCTGTTTTCTCTTCCCCGTTTTCTTTGGTGGGGGGTGAATTTGAACTTGCTCCACAGTTTGTACAGGTTAAGCAGGTCGTCCAACTTCTGACACTGCTGTTGTTGTTGTTGCTGATGTTGCTGGTTGAGCTTCAGGGGACTGCGGTGGTGAAATTGACGGAGATTCCTCGTCCACGCTGAGAATATGGTGAAGATCAATACAAAATTCGCGTAGTATACCCTTTATCTTTGCCCAATTGTCGTTTTTACCAATGTAAAATTTCTCAAAACATTCACTCCACTCGATATTGGTTGTTGTGGGTGTTTCTTCTTCCAAGGGTTTGGGATCGGGATTGTCCAGGTCAACAGTATCAAACTTGTCAACAACTGCACGACGTTTCATGCGCACAAGTATTAGCCCTTGATGTTCGCTATTCTTTAGTACCAGACAAAATTTTTCACCCTTGTAGTTGGTGGTTTGAGATAATTCATGATAATTTACAGCGTTGGGGGATTTGCTGCATTTACCCAAAGCTTCAATTAATTCTTCCACTTCTTCAAAACTTGTTTCAATACCAGTTTTATGTAAAAAATTCTCATTTGTTTTGGATTTTACACCCGAAGCCAAAACACATTTTTGAACCCACCGTTTGCAAAACACCATTTTTGTGGTACCATTTTGATAGGTGGCCAATTCTTTATCAAGAATTGTATTTTCCTTTTTGTAAATTTCAATCTCGCTAATTTTTTGTGCTTTTACTTTGTTCAACGTTAAAAAATAATGATTTGTAACATTTTAAACCAACATTTTATAGGCTATCCAACCCTCCTATAAATATCACTGTTTTTTTGGCAATATCCGTTTTAATTTTATCCAACACACTTTCACTAATACATGTCATTTTATCCATATATAGACATTTCAGTTCCTCGGTAGAAAAACGTAAATACCCATTTATGGTCAAATACCTTGATAATGCCAATGTGAACAATTGATCATTTAAATCTTTATTACAATACTCGGTATCAAAAAAAATATTCAAATCCGTCAAAACTTGTCCCTTTACTATACTCTTAAAATAATGTTTATAATAGTTTTCTGCAGCTTCTACCCATAATAAAAAACGTTCTGCAATCAGCGTATTGTTTTCATATACTAAATTACAATGACCATACCATAGACCCTTGTCCCATTCCATTTCATATACTACGTTCACTTGTCCATAATATACCCTAAATAGTTACGTTCAGAGTACACACGCTTTATAAAAGCAAATACACTTTTGTCCAAATATATATGTTGTTGCAAAAAATAATTATAAATACAGCTTATTACATCTGTATGTTGGTTCAAACCTTTAATATAACTAAACATTTGTTTCACAAAACGTCTCATTCCAGGGTCCGGAAACGTGCTGTATGATATTAACCAATCTCCCCAATATGTTTTATGCCAGCAAAGACAAATATATTCCGTTGTATTTTTTTGTTTTTGCCGCTTGTAAATTGTGAATTTTTGTTTTGATCCGACCAATTGTACATACTCGTCACAATAATACATTTTATTATTCCAAAATACTGTTATATTCTTGCTTGATAACATACAATTTTCATATCCGCAAAACACTGCTAATCTATCTATGGCTTCTAACGTTACGTGTGCCATTGTCGTAAAATAAATGTATCGTCAAAACGTTGTCATTACTTCTAAACCAACATGGCGTAATTTTTATTTGTGCCCCACCGTATTCATTTTTACTAAACAAAATAAACCAAAACCAACGTTTTTTAAATTTAATCCAAAATTTAAAATATTCCCCTGAATCAGGATCACCAATTGTTGAAAATAATATGTTGCAAACAACAAGCTCGTTTCTGACCCACACATAAAGCATAATTGTTAATTTTTACAAACGTCATATTATCACACCCTTTCACAATGGCAAAAGCTCAAAGGGGGGGAATTTTAAAGCGGGAAAACATCAGAGAAGTAAAAAAAACAAACAAGATGGGGGCATTTTACCGTATTTAATTTACAAAGCTGCCACAAGTGGTAGAAGACGTAGCAGACGTGCATCACCCCCACAATATGGCCCCCGCGGTTATAACCGGGGTTATCGTCGCCAATGGGAACGCGAATATGGGGGTCGTGGTCGAGGTTATGGGCGTTCTCAAAATATTATTATATCTACAAATAATACTCAAGGCCCTCGTAATAAACCGCATATGTGTACTACCACACACCCGCAAAGAGGAGGTATCGTAAAAGGGGAATGGAAAGCCTCGGATTACATGCGTGCACATCGGTTAACTTGGTCAAAAAACAAAAATGGGGTAACGGGATAAAATGGGCCAGCGAACGTGCAAAAAAAGACGCCAGCTGGGCAATTAGGATGGCTAACAAATATGGATAGTGTAAAAAATGTTAACAAAAAATAAAATAATTTATTTAATAAATCAATTTTATTACAATCTCTCGTCTCCGTTATAAATAGCAGGAAATAATATATCTTTCTCTACTTCGCAACATGCATTACTTCTACGACACTCGTACACTAACTCTCCACCGCCTTGTTCATTTTTATTTAATCGATATTTTAAAATACCAGGCTCTCCGCACACATGTTTTGCTTTTCTGGGTAGTTGTAACCATGCTATGTCCTCTCTTTCGTCATCGGCTAAATTAACGTGTATGTATGTTAATGAATCTAACTCGTGAAAGTAAACACCACATGTTTTATTTTGTCCTAAATACGCGCACAAATAAGCTGCGCTTGTAGGTAAATAACAACACGATTTATAGCACAAACATTTCAAAGTATCTTGAGCATTCTTTACTTGGGGTACAGATTTCATGTATGAACACGTACCCCTATTGCAAACGTAAAATAATTGTAGTTCATTTTCAAGCCGAATTGTTCGTTGTTTACTGTCACTGGGTAAAGCCCCTGCGGTCACGCGTTGCAGACTAAGTCGTGTTTCTTGTTTGCATGCGCACATCTCGCGTGTAATCCAATAAAGAAAGTCTTTTGCTCTTTCTACAATTCCAACATAGCTAGCACAAAGTTTTTTATTCTGTGGATCAATATTAAAACCGCAAGACTCGTGTATTCTGTAACGCTTGTACTGTGCTAAATATTTAATGTTTCCATTTTCCCAAACTCTTGTACACTCATTCACATTATCCCCACATACACATGTAATTTTATGACATGTTTGAATTAACCCACACTCGCCATCCCAGCCCCGACATGTCAAACAATCGCAATACAATTTGCCCTCGGATATACCCATATTTGGATATTCACGCATCCTTTCATCCTTAATCAATTCGGGCATCTCTTCATACTCATTCAACAAAGCTGTAGCCATTTTGTCAACTCTGTGTCCATGTGCGGGTATAGACCAACTAACTTTCTACACTCTTCTCTTAAAATTTTATGTCTCTTTAAAAAACATTGCGTACAAAATCCAACATTCACATATAATTTACATTCACAAGTAACATAAGGCGATTTTGGTATTCTATACTTGTCCAACAAAATGTCCATGGATCTAAAAAAATAATATAATTAACAGTATTGACCTAATATGGTCAATTATGGGTCATTGCAAGCTAGCCTAAAAAAGATAATAATTTATCATTTTCACAACAGTATTGACCAAATATGGTCAATTACAGGCTGTAGCAAGTTGGCCTAATTTTTTGTACTTAAATAGAGTTTATACCTCTGAAAAAATCAAAAAATGTTTTGCTATCACTGTGGTCAAACTACAAATTGTATGTATGTATCTCTCCGTCACGCATGCGCACTTGCGCCAATGCGCACGACTTCGCTTTTCAAAGCAGGAGCCAACGCCCATCAAAACAACCCCCCATCCATGGACACGATTTTTTCACTTTTTTTTGCTGACTCATCATTTCTCATAATACAATCTTATAGTAAATTGCAAAAATTTCCCACACCCTCACTAAAAAAAATCAGTTTTTCTTAGTATACTACCAACAGATGTTTACAAGACAGATGTCACAAAATTGCAAAAGAAACCGTTGTCAACGTTGGAAAAAGATAATCATAATGATGATACGCTGCTGGAACTAGACCGTCGTCTAGACGAAGCTTTTGATAGTCTAGAAATGCAAAATGCTTTTAAAAAACTAACAATAAAAATGAACAAAAAACAGATAACAATTATGAATAACTTTTTATTTAGTATTAGTATCGAAGTCTCCTATAAACTATACAAATAATACAAACATTACTTTATAATGATAATAATCTGTAGATATATTATTTTAATTTGTCTATATTTGTGTTTAGTTTACTCACTATTACGTCTTTTTTTTTAAGAAATAAAAATTGTTTTTACCAGGTACATTGATAAATTTCTATGTACGCTTCTACAGGATAATCCCCATCCTCAGCATCGTCTTTTTCCTTTAAGTCAGTGTCTTCGACCAAATTATCAGTTTCGGGACGTATAACATAATTATTCCAAGCCTGTGATGCATCAACATAGTTTGGCGACCACAGCTCCGCATACCATTTGTCGTGTTTTTCCTTAATACCGGGCAAATGTTTTAACACCCCACAAATATTACAATTTTTCAGCTTAGCACGTTCTTCAAAAAGCTTGTGTGTTACCGCATCACACTCTTTCCCCTCGAACGCACCACATATGTCACAGTACAGTTTACTCTTTTCAGCAATCTCGTGTATCAACTTATTACAAATTTCACCCTTTTTCGTTCCACAAAGCTTGCAAACAAACTTCTCTGGTTTCTCGTCCAAACTACTGGGTCGTAAAATTGTAAAGTTGTTGTGTGCCATTGATATTTTCAAAAACTAAAAAAAACCCCACAGTGTTGTAGCTATCACAAAATAAAACAGTAAAAAGGCTGCTAAAGACACTATTCGTTCAGTAAAACTCATCTTCCATTTCTATTACAGGCATTTATTTATTTACACTATTACAAACACATTATTGACCCTATATGGACAATTGCTAAAACAATCGTGCTAATAAAAAGCAATTTCTAGTAAAAAATACTATAATAATAATATTCTAAACATGCCTACGCTGGGTAACAGACGCTACATTTACTTAAATGGGTCTAACGACAACTTCAATATATTTCTAGTTTCCGACGATGTTAATGTAAATTGGCAAGAGTACACAACCCAAGACATTGTTATTAAAACGGCCAACAACCACGTTAATAACCGGGTATTTCTATTCCAAGTACCGCCGGGACAATGTATTGAATTCTATGGTTTCACAGAACTAACGTCTTGTACCCCATCACAACATTGCTGTGTTCGTAAACAAACCTTTGGCTGGTTAATGCATGAACTACAACAGACACATTTTAATAACACTACAGATTTTAAGATCATTAACTAAAAGGTACATTATTTAAGTTCTTTTTAAAAATTAAAATAATATTTTGTATTTAACTTATTTTTTTTCTAACAGGTTGTGAAAGACAAAATCAGTACAGAAAAGATGGAAAAAAAACATTTAATAAACTAGAAAAAATACAAATATGTATATAATTTAAAATATGAAATAAAATGTTTAACTATTGTTGTCCACTATTTTATCACAAATTTCGTCATCAACAAATACTTTGTCCCCATCCGAATACACAATGTACATTCTATCTACAAACGTATCAACGCTAGCATAATGTCCCGTGGAATACAATTGTTTTTTTACACACATATCGTAGAGCATAGTCATCATGTGCGTTACGTCATCAGCCCTGAGTGGTGTGTCCTTGGGTTTATAAATCTTTTCCACATGCCAACAATCTAAGCATCTTTCATACATTAGACACATAAAACGCCATTGTGTCATAGCTACTGCTGGTGATTTTGCCATCCATTTGACAAAATCCATGTTTCTTGTTTCGGTAAAATTTTGTAAGGTTATCCATGTATATCGCGCTACAATGTTGTGGAAAAGTTCTACTTGTTCCCTTCTTAACTTTCCCCATTCTTCATGGGGTACTGGAATACTTGTTTTTCCCATTTTACTTTTGCTGCTTACTTTGCTTTTCGGCGTCGCCATTGTTTTTTCTCTTAGCCAAATTTATACCTATTTGTTGAAATTGTGTAAAATCATACCCGCTTACTTTAAAATCTGTTATAAATAAGCCCACATGCCGAGTCACATGATAACTTTCTTCAATACTAAAATAATTCCAAAAATCTTGCACATATTTTTTATCACAATAGCCTTCCATAAAAGGGTAATTAAGATTTGTGCTGTGTACTACACACAATTAATGCAGTTTGAATTTCTTTTTTTGTAATTAGTTTAGCATACAAACAATGATGCTCGCAAAAAAATTGAATTGTAACATCGCCCATAATTGACCATATATGGCTAATTCTCTAACTGTGAGCGTAGGTTATATTTTGAAAATCCATCCCTTGCATTCTCACTTTCCTCCTCATCTGACTCGTAATCAACCACTAAACAAAGAAATATGGGAGACGATGCAATTATCAATCAGTTTTTGCACACTTTTTGTGCAAATGCTCACATTCAACATTGTATGCATAAATGTGATCATGCACTGACGGGTATAGGCAAAGATGATAACGAGATTGCGTTTAAGCAAAGATTTTGTGGCAGTTGTCATTTTGGTATGTTTGAGGAGTATAGTGCAACACATAAAAGGGAAGAGGACGAGAAAAGCGGAAAACTAAATGATGATGACCAGTTTGTTTTCACGGGTTTTGCAACCCTCGACGGAAAACAATTCCAGTACAAACATCTAAACACAAAAACGATGTTTTATAGCAGACAACAAACCGTTGAACAAGCCGGCGAAGAATGGCTAGCCGAAAACCCTGGTAGAGCATGGTTTGAAGTTGTAACTGTTGTTAAAGACGGTGTTGAAATACAACAAAAACGTAAAAAGAGTTCAGTTTTTATGTCTGGGACCGCTTCGGGTAGTGAAAGTTACGGGAAAAGGAAAAAGGAAACAAAACTTAGACAGGCAACATTATTTGAATTTTATAAGCAGGAATAGATCTTTTTTTATATTTCTAAAAATTTAGGATAGAACAATTTTTTTTAAAAACCTGTTATTAAAATAAAAATTTACCTTTAACCCGTTTTCTTTTTCCACATGTTGTGCTTAATTTTTTGTAGTAATCCAAACTAACTCGTGTTTCCCGCTGCAGGAACTCGCTTGCGTCCTTAATATTTGTATCAATTTGCTTTACCAGATAATATTTATGCATCGGCGTGTGTCTGTTTAGGGATCTGTGCCATGCATAATTTGGTAGTTTTATATTTTCAACGACCTGCCTTTTTATTTGCTCAACTAATATGGTTATTAAACCGTGGTCTTTTGCTATTTGCTCCGGTATTACACCTTGTTCGACGAGTCTGTTTGCAAGTTCACTTATTTCCCATTTTTCGTTTTTTTGAAATTGTTCGAACAACCATTCCTTAACGGTATCTGTCCACATCTTGACGCATATAATAGTTTAAAAAAAATGTTTTTTTAGTTTTTATGGGTTTTTGCTTACCGGAAACACGTCACCTGCAAGCGCCTCCCTTTTTTATTTTACCGGCGCCAAATTTGAAATGGAATCAGTTCGGTTCACTCCAGTCTCCAGTCTGAAATTTCACACGTTACAAGCGCCGCCCCCCTCTTCTCTTATATTACCCGCGCCAAATTCGAAATCGAATCAGTTCGGTCGACCAGGGCTTCGGCCACGCATCTCTCCATCACGCATGCGCACTTGCGCCAATGCGGCACGACTTCGCTTTTCAAAGCAGGAGCCAACGCCCATCAAAACAACCCCCCATCCGTGGACACGATTTTTTCACTTTTTTTTGCTGACTCATCATTTCTCATAATACAATCTTATAGTAAATTGCAAAAATTTCCCACACCCTCACTAAAAAAAATCAGTTTTTCTTAGTATACTACTACTGTATGTCAAATGCAAGTATATGCATTTTAAAACCGATATGCAAAACAGGTTACATGTAGTCATATTTTTAAAATATTAAGTGGCAGGACTCTCCCTTTTTAGGAATAAAATTATTAGTCAGTAGACAAGTAATGAAATTCAATACTGTATATATTTTTATTAACTCGCAATGTTTATACCTGAAATTATATCATCAGCACTGTCACAAATCATAGGAACATCAACATCAGGTGTCCCATCATCCATTAAAACATCAACATTGATAAAGTCTGAAAATGATGCAAGTAGGCACATTGCAGCTCAATCGGGGTTTAAGAGAATAAAATAATTTATACCACAAGATTATGTCTTAGTGAGTGCTGGTATATTTACCAGGTACATGAATTAAAATATTAAATGTAACTGTGTAACTAAATAAACTAATGAATTTCATAAAACACAAAGAACCTAAAATACATTACCATTTGAAAATCCAGCGATCTGGTTCTGTGAGCTTTTTTTACCAGCTTCCAAGGCATCGCAAGCTTAAATAGAACATGTGATTGCATTTGATAAACATTGAACACACTTGACACCTCAAATCACATTTGAAATTTTTTCCATAATTTTTTGCACCTGGGTTTCAAAATATTCAATACAGTTTAATATCATATCCCTGCTATAATTTATATTAACACAACCTATATCCCATGCAGTAGACAAAAGCTAATATAGTTGATTCCACCAGTGAAAAAGATTACTGTACCAGATTTTTACAGCCTGTTGGTAAAAGACCTTTGATTGCAGGGTTACACTATAGTCTATACCTTATATAGCAATTCATATTGTTATTAACCAGTATCCATTATAAACCTACCTGATTTAAAATTATTTTTGATTTCCTCACAATACACCTCATTGTATGAGATAGAAAAGTCCTCGAATGATACAAAACAATGGTTTCTATGAAAACAAATGATGCAATATATATTTAAAATACAGCTGTAGCATACAGTAGTTGTCCAAGTTTCCATTTTTTTGTAAATATACTTACATAAGCGAGGGTATCCATCTGTACAGCTTTTTCTCCATATAAACTACATTGGTAACTTCTACCAAATTATCCTTTCTGATAATTTCCTTAGGGTAGTAAGAAGCATTTCCACTGCTGTAGTGTGTCATCGAGCGACCATAGGAAACTTTACACCCTTGACATCTGAGGCTAAGGTTGGTGCAAGGCTTTGGACCATTCACTGTATACAATGTACAGCTGCTTAATGCGTTTGGAGAAGTTAACACAGTACCACGTAGCATACAATCTTCTACGGGAGGAGCGATGAAACCACCGTAATTCACGCCGTCCTTCCCATTCAAGCTGCTTAGTGCGTCTTCAAAGCGAGTTTGTTGCGTTTCTAAAACATTTAACTCCGGAACAAATTCTTCAATATATTTCACCATTTCATCCACCACAGGCAATGAAAGGTGCTTTTCTTGGCATAATTTGTTTGCAATCTCGAAAATAATCTTTGCGCAGCTGTTCTTGCGCCTAGAAAATACGCGAGGCACATGTTGTATGGTGGCCATCACCCACGATACCATGTCGAAGCCGAACATCAACGATAGCAAACTAGCCGCATCAATATCGTTTTCCTTACATCGCAATCTTAGTAATTCTGAAACTTTCTTTACACTCAGATTACTTTTCAAACTATTTATCGAGTTAAAAAGCTCTTTGCCCTTGCGAATTTCCCTCAAAATAGCTTCTGGAGAGAAGTCGACTTTTGGTCTTTTCGACGCCATGTTTATTTACGCGAATAATTACTGCTCTACTACGCAACTACGAGTAGTTCAAGAGTAGTAGAAAAAACTCATAAAACTAGCCTCTCATGTGTATATGGGAATGTTATGTCTCTTTAGCTTTTGTTCCTTGTCTCCGTTTAGATACAATGACGCCATGTCTTCGATGGGTCTTTCGCACTGAAGCACAGGCGGTAAACACCAATCAACTCTAGATCGGAGGGCTAGAGTTTCTAGCTTCTGACCACCATCTTGTTCTTGCGTGTTCATTACTCGGTAAAATGACTCTGCCACTGCTTCGGTGCCAGTTTTTGTGTAAAAGATGTCGAAAATTATGCAAAACTCTTTACCAATGGCATTGTACAGGGTAGGATCTGTGTAGAGGGAAGAAATAAAGCTGTCTTCAAGAAATACCACTTGATAGGACGATCCATCAGACAACTTTAAAATGTATCTTTCTTGAAGGCCAAAAGAACTGTCAGAAATTCTTTCAAACGTGACAACAGTGATATTTGAGGGAATTCTGAGAGGTTGTGGCTTTGCTTTACTCTTCTTACTCTGATCAGGCTCCAATTCAGGTAATTTCATGAAGAATGCCTGGAACAAGTCAGGGAAGAACTCTCCCCATACATTGATAAGCACTTTCTTCACTTGCGAGAAAATGATGTCTGCAAACTCAGGATCAAGGTCTAAAGTTCCAGACTCGACTTGAGATTTCACATGGGGAAGTTGAGCAATGAATGAAACACATCTTCGAAATTCCGCTTGGCCTACTTTCATAAACTCTGCCTTATTCACAGGTACCTGGTTTTGGCTTTTAGTTCCACAGACACCGTTAAACAAGCTCCCGAAATCCAGACATTTGTGGAGCAACTCCATCAGTGGTGGTAAACATGCATTGTACCGGCTCTGCAACTCTTTCAGAAGATTGTTGGCCAAATCTGCAAGCTCCTTCTTACAGTCGTGCATCTCTTGAAGTTTCCATTTGACACACTTAGGGGGAGTTTTCGGGTCCGGTACAACGGGTACGTCAGGCATCGGTCAATTATGTATCTCTCTGTCTTGGACAATTAGCCAACCATCAACAAGGTCAACATCTTCATATTTTTTGGGCTGGATAGACTTTCAATGCTCATGAAGATGAGGACAAACGGAATGGGCTGGACCATCCTTTATCACTTCTTTAGCAACTTGGCGAAGCTGTTCCTCCACCAAGGGAATCCAACTTGGGAATTTCCAAACAGGACACCATTCCAACTGTCCCCAGATCATTAGGAGGGCTAAAGGCCACAGAAGATCAATAGTTCCCAATAAGTCGTATACAAAATCGGTACCAGCAATTTTGTACTCGGTAATCTCAGTATTGTCATGATCTCGAAAAGTTGATATAAACTCCCAAACTTTTCTCAAGCTCCAGAAAATGTTGGTAAGAGCTACTCATGAATCGTTGAGTTGCAAATGAGACAGTGACTTGGAATGGAAGGTCCAAATCTGCAGCTGTTGCTTTAGAAACACTGTGCAATTTCCCGTGTCCGAACTGGCAGTGAACAAGGTTTTGTACAACTGAGAAGCCTTGCAACAAACACTTCTCCTCTAAATTTTTCAAAGACAAGATCGAGCCAATGGGTGGGGTCCCACTGCGCTGGCCACCAGAAATCATCTGTAGCATCTTCCGGCAAATCATTGATTTCATTTCCACTTAAGAGGACTTTTATATGCTCATTCATTGCTTGGATGAAGGGTCTTGTAAGGTGCTGACCATCAAACACCTTCCCTTGGGCTTGCATCAACCTGGGGTGTCTTTATCTATCTTTGCATGCTTATCCAGATCCTCAAAGACCTTCTCAGCGAGTTCGTCACCAAGTCCACCATGGCCAGAAGAATCTTTGTGAACTTGTCTCGTTGCTAATGGTATGGCCTTCCGTTCACCATCCACCACTGGACACACCATAGACACTTGATTTGTTACTCTGTGGTTTGTACTCTTCTCTGCTGTAATGTAGAAATGTGGAGGGAGACCAGTGCTAGGCATCGGAGTAGAGAGAACCAACTGTTGCCACTTTAATTATATCGTTGAATTGATTACAACCATGGCCAAAGTCACCAACATCTGTTCCTGACATTTGTAGCTCGGCAATTCTCGTCTTGTATGACTGCGCCGCAGATTTTGTCTTCACAATGCCAAGGCCTGTTCGAATTTGATTCTCATTATTGCTATTAAAGTGGTCCAACATTCTTTTCTTAAGACGTTACCATGTGCTATTATGGCCCAAAATGCAGTGTTGATAGGCCTCTTGCCATATCAGTAAACCTGTAGAGACACAACCCGAACTTGGAAGATGGGACGCTCGCTGCAATGCGCTCTTGCTATTCAAGTAAAAAAAGCAAATTTTGCAAGGTACAGTTTTATCTTCTGAGTCTCCAACAAGTTCAATATCCTTATTCAGGTCTAAAAATTCGGAATATTTTTGAAGCAGAATTGCCAGGGATGCTCTCGGCAGAATTTGTTTTTTTGGAATTGCTTTAGAACTGCCTCTGGAACCTTTTGGAACTGCCTCTGTATTAGTCGCACTTACCGACAATAAATTCAAGACTTTGTCCAATTTACCTGACAACTCCTTGATTGAAGGCTCCGAGGACTGTGCGATTTCTTTGGAACTAACAAAAAACTTGTCTACTGCAGACTGTGTATTGGGCTGACTAGTGAGTGATTCTTCTTTATCAATTAACGGATCTTCTTCAGATAAAGGGATAAGAGAGGATAAGGGAGGTGGAATGGTCCAAATATCTTCATCCAACAAACATTTGGAGCTTTCACCTGACATTTCTTTATCTTGTTCAGTGGTCTGATCGTGGCTGTCCTCGTTGCGGTTTAATTGCTCCTGATCTTTTTCTCCTGACGTTTTGCCGGGTAGCGGTGGGACAGGTTTAATAAGGGATTCATTTTCATTTAGCAATTTAACAGCATGCCTTGCTCTCAGATCATCGTTTCGTACAATTAATGCCTGAACTCCACTGTGAACAGTGTTCTTGTGTCTCTCAATAGAAGATGGATTGAAGTGCGCGATGCTACATTTCCCTTTCTTGCCATTTCCAAAACAGGTTAGGCAAATTCCTCTTTTGTTTTTTTCGTGTCCAGATTTTAGACGACTCTATTTTTCAACAAAATAATGTTGATCTTGTTCGACGTGTCTTCATCAATCATTTGTACGCTATAAATAAGTATTATTATTATTACACCATAATTATTCATAACTTACTACACTTATCGCATGTGACTGGTTGTCCATATCCTTCCTCTGTTCCCTCCACTGGTAAACCACATCGGAATATGTGAACAAAGTTTGGCATTCTGTACATTTGTGTGCCTGACCAACTGGGTCTTCACAAACCACACATTTATTGTCTACAAATTAGTACAACATTTAAGCATTGTTGTGATCTGCAATAGTGAATGCTGCCTACGCTTAAGGTGGTCTTCCACCCAAATTTTCCAATATTCGTTATTTTTTAGAAAAACGTAAAAATGTAGTCTTTATTGCGTTCTTTATAAAATCCGTGTAATTTTAAGAACGAAAATGTACCGTAAACCAGAGAAATCTAGCAAATTCTACACCTTTGTAGGGTAAAACCACGATTTTACCCGGAGCGATAAAGATATGCGATTGGTTTAGTCTATTGTTCCATTTTCAATTATATTGTTCTATCTAAGTTATTCTAATATATGCAAAAACGTTAAAATCGCTTTTCTCACATGAGCATTTTGCGAAATACTAAAAACTCTCCTACTGTTCATACTGAATCAATTCGTTCGAATATAGCCATGTCATGGACCTACAAAACTTCACATATCAGCAATATACATTGCAAGAGTAGCCTTATAAGAACTCCTTTCTTCATATAATTTAAAAAAAGTTAAATATGAAGGCCTTATTATATTACTTGTATATTTTTTTAGGTTCATGACATAGATCGATGTATTAAGTGTCCATTAAAGCTGTTTCTAAAATCCTCGGTAAATTACTTTGGCCCACATCATTTTTGGAGGCCTATCTTAGTTACTATGGCAACGACGAATGTAAAAGTTACTGATCCTGCGTCAGCTGAGGATATTCCATCATATTTGACTCAAATATGATAAAACCTTTAAATTGAAAAAAATGTTTTTAGGGTGGAAGACCCCCTTAACTAGTAAGGAATCCTGTAATTTTTATATAAAAAACTATTTTTCAAAGTTTTTGTTGTCTACATGTTATGCAGTGTATGTTATAAAATAAAATAAGGATTTTAAAGTGAACTCGGATAGTCAGACTACTGGGGCTGGTTGGACGAAAGGTGGATAAGTTATTCTGTGGATAAGTCCTATCGATTTTTATTCACTAGCTAGCATTTCATGATCTTTGTTTACGCGAAGACAACGCAGAAGCAGAAACTGTTTAGTATGAGTTGAGTACACTTTTTCCCATAGAATACACTAAATATTTTCTTCCTTGGCTTTGCACACCTTTCATAACAATTTTGATAACACTTTTTTTCAAGTTTTGTAATTGGCTAATCAAAGCGAATTAAGGAACACGATTCGCCATCTTGTTGTCTATTGCCAACAGTAATTTTGTTCGGTTTTCCAAAATTTTCAAAAGTTGTATCTTCGTACGTTCATCGTGTTTTTAAACTGATTAAAAGTGAGAAATTTACTACTTGTTTGAAAACTACATATTATAAAAGAAGGATTTGGAGAAAAATCGATCCAAGACAAAACAGTAAATATTTTGGATGAACTTCGACTAGTTATAATAATAATAATAATTTAATTTGCCACCATTACAACATTTTGAAAAGAAAAAAGAAATTATTTACAATAATTAATGATAATAGTGGCGAGGAAGCTTAATAAAGAAACCATAAGGCTTATGGTTTCACATCGGTTACACTTTTTTGGCTGAGTTCCACCTCTGTGTAGTATGGCTGCCGTATAAAATGGCTGCACTGCAATGGCTCTGCTATATTTTCATTATTTGTGGCAGTTATTCACTGTTATCTGATAACAGGAATAGCGCAATCCCTAAAGATTGTGCTGGGAAAGATAGTGGGACAACATCGGCGTCAAATTTTTGGTGTTTTCTTGAGAAGTCAAGTTTTATTTTGACTGCTAACCTCTCTAGCTTGGTTGTATGTGGACGATCTAGCATTGTAGGACTGTATATAATCGATGATTTTGGCAGTTGTCAAACTTCATGCGGGAGTACGACCAGTGGGGGATTTGATGAAAGGGATTTTGAAGCTAATGAGTGGATTTATTTTCGGCAAAGCAAGTTGTTGAGCAATATGAGAGTTTCTGTTAGTGGTTGCTTTTCAAGACGGGACAAATACGAGCAGATTTGCATATGCAAAGTTGCTCATAATAAAACCACTGATCCGAATTATTCTACTAAAGTCATTGAATTGTCATTGATGTCAAGTGATGTGAACGTATATAACTCCACTTATCTCGTCTTCAATAAAAGGGCTTTAGCTTTCCTCGCTAAAGGAAGACATAGACGAAGCAAACGTCCCTGTGTTTATTATGCTAACAGCACTGCAACATTCCAACTGTTGTTGGAAGGCGATTTAGTTTTTAAACTAAATCCTGGTCCTGAGTATCAAAGAGCGAAGTCTACTTTTTCAAGACATTATACTTGTAAAGCGCGGCCGGGACGTAACGCCTCAAATCTTATTTAGATACAACGTCTTCCACTGAATAGAATAGCACATAATAGCTGTTTATCGCTTTGTTTAATGAATGCGCAATCGTTACGAAACAAGACGACCGACTTCGTTGACTATGTTTGTGAAAATAAATTTGATCTAGTTGCTGTTACTGAGACCTGGTTACAGAAAAAGGATGATGCAGTGCGTGTCGAACTATGCCCAGCGGGTTATAAACTAGTTGATCACCCGCGTTTAAAACGGGGAGGTGGGGGCATTGGCCTTCTACACCGTGACTCTTTCAGAGTGACTAGAATCAGAACTGGTGAAGAAGAGTCTCTTGATTACTCTGAGCTTATTATACAGTTATCAACCTCTTGTAAACTTAGGACTATCATTGTTTATAGGTCACCACCTTCAGTAGGCCACAGGGCTTCTATGAGCACTTTTCTGAAGGAGTTTTCTGATATCCTGGAATCTGTCATTCTATCGAAGGAGTGTTTACTTGTCCTTGGGGATTTTAACGTTCATGTAGATGACTCTATTGATGCTGATGCTATGAAGTTCCTTGATTTGTTGGATTCACTCGGACTTGAGCAGCACGTTACGCAACCGACTCATATCCATGGTCATACCCTGGATCTTATTATCACACGCAAAATGGAGTCACTCATTGGGTCACCACCACGTAGCTGCCACTACTTTTCTGATCATGCAGCTGTTCATAGCAGTATTCGGATAGAGAAGCTTGTGACCAAAGCTAAAAAAGTCACTTACAGGAAAACTAAGAATGTGGATCTGCAATGCCTTAGACAAGATTTAGCAGTGTCCGATTTGTGCACGCAGGAACACAGCGAGCACTTAATAACTAATAATGAAGGCCTTGATAAGCTTGTCTGTAGCTACAATACCGTTCTCAGCAGCATAACTAATAGTCATGCACCCCTCACAACGAAAGTTGTAAGATCAAGGCCACAAGTGCCCTGGTACAATAAAGAGATAGCTGAAGCGAAGAGAAAGAGACGTAGGGCTGAGCGAGTCTGGAGGAGATCAGGGTCTGCTGAAGACCTATTGGTGTTTAAACGATTAAAAAATCATGTAACATACATCAGTAATAAGGCGCGCAAGCAATTTTATGTGAACTTCATAAACGAACAGGATGGCGATCAGCGCAAACTTTTTAAGGCAACTAAAGCACTGCTCTTGCCAAAAAGTGATTTATTCTTTCCTGACTATCATAATAACACCGCTCTTGCAAATCATATCGGAAGCTATTTTCATCATAAGGTAATTAATATTCGCGAAGAGCTTGATGTTGCTCACGCTAGTCACGACGAGCGTGTTAGGGTGATTGATGATCCTGAGTTTAATACTGAACATGATCGATTATCTAACTTTAAGGAACTCACCCAGGAAGATGTACACCAACTTATTAGAGCTTCAACCAAGAAAACGTGCATGCTTGATCCTATGCCCACTTCTCTGTTAACAAATTGCCTCGAGGAAATTCTTCCAGTTATCACATCTATGATCAATTCTTCTCTGTCCCTTGGATATGTTCCAACTGAGTGGAAAGCTGCTCTGGTCGACCCACGGCTAAAGAAACCTGGCTATAATGTCTCTTTTCCAAATTTACGACCAGTGTCTAACCTACAATTTGTGGCTAAATTGACAGAAAAAGTGGTTTGCAACCAAACTCAAGATCATATATTGCGGTCGGACTTATATCCGGTGCTCCAGTCAGCTTATCGGACAGGTCACAGCACTGAAACAGCTCTTCTGAAAGTCCACAATGACATCTTGTTAAATATGAACAATCAGAAGGTTACTCTACTTGTACTGCTTGACTTGAGCTCAGCGTTTGACATGGTGGATCATCAAGTCCTTCTTCGTCGTCTTCAGGTAACGTTTGGAATAACGGGTAATGCGCTTGAATGGTTTCGGTCTTATTTATCTGGCAGATCACAGCGAGTAGTAATAAATGGAAGCCATTCAAGGGAATTTCCTCTGATGTATGGTGTCCCTCAGGGCTCCTGTTTAGGGCCACTACTGTTTATAGTATATTCTAGCAAGCTATTTGAAGTCATAAAGAACCACCTTCCTGACGCCCATGCTTATGCTGACGATACTCAGCTGTACATCTCATTTAAGCCTGATTCTACTGCTAGTGAATTAGAAGCGGTAACTTTATTGCAAAACTGCATAGCTGATATTAAGACATGGATGATCGTGGACAAACTCAAGCTGAATGATGATAAAACTGAATTTATTATAATTGGAACTCGTGCACAACTGAATAAGATAAAGATAACGGAGTTAAGAATTGGTCAGGTAATGGTGTCGTCAGTATCCGATGCTCGAAATCTTGGATCCTGGTTTGATAACATTTTGAGTATGAAAACGGCAATTAATAAGACCTGTCAATCTGTGATTTATCACTTACATAATGTCAGGCGAATAAAGAGATTTTTATGCTTTGAAGACAGAAAGACGATTGTTCAGGCCATGGTCATGTCAAGAATAGACTACTGTAATAGCTTACTATTCGGTGTTTCGTCCACGCATCTTATGAAGCTTCAACGAGTGCAGAATACTGCAGCCCGCTTGGTGTGCTCAGTTCCAAAACATGAACATATCACACCGTCGTTAATCAGATTACACTGGCTACCAGTTAAATTTAGAATAAATTTTAAAATTGCAATGCTCACATTCAAATGTATAAACAAAACTGCTCCCGAATATCTAAGCAGTTTAGTGACCATCAAGAAGACACCTCGTTACAACCTAAGATCAAATACAGGAAAGTTACTACAAGATAACACTGCTCGGTCGAAAAAGACATTAGGAGACAGGGCATTTTCTAATGCCTCAGCAATAGTATGGAACAGTCTTCCTGTTTTTATAAGAAGTCAGGAAAATTTTTAGTACTTTTAAGTCACTTCTCAAAACACACTATTTCAGGGAAGCTTTTAATGTATAAATAAATTTTAGAACTTGAGCGGTAACTGTTTTTGTAAATATTCTAAATTTTATTTATTTATATTTTTAAATCTATAGCTAGTTTAAGTAGTTTGTAAAGCGCATTTGATCATACCAATTGCATGTTAATTTGCGCTATATAAGTAGCAAATTATTATTATTATTATCTTGTAAAAATAGGTACGCTAGGCATACATGTATCTGCCACATGGGAATTGCATCGTTGCTATGAAAAAAATTCATGCACAATAATTGAGTAAACATCTATATTTTGAAGTGACTATTACATCCAGCAGCAGGCTATTTATTTAGTAAACTGCTGGCTATATAGTAGTCCCTTCACAGCCGCTCTTTGTGTGGAGGTTTCTCCACATGAATGGCTGCTCACTCGAGCACAACATTCCATTCCCTTCAGAAAATATCTAATTTAGCGACATAAATATCTTAACAAGTCCAAGGTCATGTTTCTGAAATTTAGAAGCATTACTGTGATTGGTTTGTTTCAGAAAAGCATTGTCATGTTTGAGTGAGCAAATTGACACAAAGAGCAGCTGCGAAGGGAGACTAGCTATATAAGTGACAATACTAAGTTGAATATTTATAAGATAAATCAATCCCAACCCCACAACCTTCTCTAACCCTAACTGCTAACCATAATCTTTTGAAAGTTAGAAAAGGTAGAAAAAAAGTTTAAAAATTTTTTTAAGAAAAAATGCTAAAACACAACCCAAACCTGGACTGCGTCCCACTTTCCACATGCAGCGCCGTTACCGTATACGCTAACGGCAAGCTCAGTAAAAGCTTGCGCAGATAAAAGTTTTTATATAACTATAGTCACTATCTAGCTGAAAATTTACTATATACCCGGCTGTGTTGTCACTTTGTATGATGTGACAAAGAATGCTCAGATTGCAGTCTCTTCTCAACCACAATCAACTGTCAGAAAGCCACCATTTTTTATAATGAAACAATCCTATATTAAATTCTAAGATGTCCTGTGACTAATATACCATATAACAAAATTTTAACATAACAATTCTAAATGCTTTGACTACAAATGTACCATATAACAAAATATTAACATTCCATATGTATATAATTATGAATTACGGTGGCCCACAAGGGTAACGTCAATAATAAATCAGATATCAACTTTAAATTCATAACTTCAAATTCAAATTCCTCACTTCAAATTCCTCACTCCAACCTCAATAATTATCACCTTAGGCTTAAGGTGGCTCCCGACAGTTATAGTCCAGTTTAAAACATTTATACAGATCAGATGTCATCATCGCAGGAAGTTGTTTTTGTATTTTTATCATAGAAATAATAGACATAGAATGCATGCTCCTATCTTTTCAAACATTTTCAAAAATTATGTCTCCACAAAATGGCAGGATTTATAAGGGCATTATTTTGGCTAGTCCCATACTCCTGCGGCAAGGAATTTCGCAGTTATGTGAGTATCAGCCTATGGTATCAGCATCCATTAACACACAAAACAGAGATATGTGCTCGGAGATTGTTTCCACTCATCATCAAACCTGCATAAATCTCCATTGTGCGAATTCCACAATATTAATGCATGGATCAATTCCTGCAGTTACCCTCCCCCCCCGGGCAATACCCCTGGGATTTGTATTTTTTTGCAAGAATGTAGTAAATTCCCCACCCCCGGGACTTTAAAACTTGACAATTGCCCACCCTGGGGCATCGCTAAAAAACTAAAAATAAGAAATATCAATAAGCAGTTTATAACACACATTTTTAATATCCTTTGTATAAACATATGTACAATTTGAAAAGTGTGTTTATATATACTGATTAAATACTTGGCATTATAAACTATAGTCACTATAACACGATTATATAAACTGCCAAACAGAAATTCATCCTAAAGAACTATAAAGCTTGTTAAAGTGCTGTTGAACACCTATCAAAAGGTTTTTTTAATAATAGTACAGAGTATGTACATCAAAATCCCACGTACAGGAATTTAGGCACATTCAAAGCATTCCTATGGAACAATTTCCCACATTCATATCGGTTTCTTTTAATTATACAAGCACAATATGTCATTGACTGATTGTGAAGATATCTTGATATTCATGAAATATGTAAAGCATATTCAACGGCCCTGGAGATTAGAATTGTTGGCACAGAATCTCAATAGTTCTGTGTTTTATACAAATACTCATAGTGCGCACTCCGCGCAGTCGCAATATTTACCCAGACCTGAAGAAGTTTAGATTGTTGTACGTGGGATTTTACTGTAGTATTCTAACATCAATAAGTGAATAAACGTTTAACTAATATCATAAATGTAAAGCTGATGTCACACAAGATGATTCGTAAGATTGATTTTCTATGCAACCAACACGTAGCTATTAAAATCAGTAAAACGTCCGCAATAAACGCCATTAACACATGCTTATTAACGCAATGACTTCTTTTTGTTGGAGTTGCTTTTTTTAAGCTCTTGTTATTTTTGCTTTTTCTACACCTCTTCGTCGATTTTCAGCGATTTGCTCAAAATGTTCTATCCAACATGTCACATCATGCACAGAAAGACAGCATTTCTTAGCCAGCTCACTAAATTTCTCTTGACTGATCTCGTCAGTTGGGATGCGGGCATCAATAAAACTGCTGATGATCATGCTAGGAGGCAAGGCACGTACTGCTTTTCTACTTCTGTGCAGATCAAGTAGTCTGGGCAAATCAGTGACATAGTGTCCAGTACACTCAATTCCGGAACAGCTTTCACAATTTGAAAGAGAAGGACCCTTTGGTGACCAATGAGCCTCAATTGGCAAAGATGGCAATTCTTAAAGCAAATAAAATGTATATGAGTACACAACATTGTGGGCCAGAAACAACTGCGTTGCAGCCGTGTATTGCACTGCAAACTAGTTAAAAAATTGTTATGACTTTACAGTAAAAAAATTAAAACTCACCAGGCTTTTCACAAGTCTGGCAAATGTAAGACTCTTCTTCATTTGCATTTTATTAAGTTACACCAACGCATTTTCCATGGTACCATTCACCACATTGATCGCAGAAAATCATAAACCTAAAAAATTAATTGAAATCAAATGTAAAAAACGACATTTTAAATTTGTATCATGCACAACCGTGCACGGGAAACCCCCGGGACAAAATTTTCTAACAATTCCCCACCCCTAGGATTAAAGTTTCTGCATTATCCCGGAGGTTGCCGGGGGGGGGGGGGATGGTAACAACAAGAATTGATCCATGCATAAGTGCCTTCTAGGAAATAGTATTAAAACTAGCATACAGGAATCTCAAAATCATCAAAAGAAGAAAAGATTAAGGAATGCCCCAATGCAAAATTTTGAAACACACGTTATGTTCAATTTTCTAATGGATTTTTACCAAAATCGGGGAAATTGTTGAGAAACAAAGGAAGAATTTGGAGAAAATGGAATACAAGATTGTGAGGGATCGTTTTCAGAGATTTGTAATTGTTCCATAGTTACATTGACATTGTTAATCAAACACGAAAAGATGAAGGTTGACAACAAGTTCCGACAACATAACTCTGTTACAGTCAGTAACTCTGTCACAATCACGGAGAGAAATGACTCGAAAACTTAGCAATGTTTTTCCATGCTTTTTACGGTCAGAACCAGGTGATCTGAAAGTGAGCAAAAGGACTGGGACTAGAATAGAAATAACAGAATAGAAATCCAGTTTCGTACCTTTAATCACATGTCACGCCATAATTCTTTTGTAAAACTGTTTGAAACTTTGTGTCTGTATCTTGGACAAGGAAATGAATAACTGGGACAAATTTGAGATGGAAATCTAATACCGTTAATGAGATGTTGAGTAATTTTTAACCAGAAATGGATTTCTATTTTACAACTAGTACCAGGCCTTTTCCGAGTTCCGAGATCACCTGGAACCATTCTCGTACCCAGAGCCCTTCTTATGCATGGTGCGACGAGGGGCTCTGGCCAAATCCATAACTGGATACCATAAAAACATGGTAATAGAATATATCCGGTAATAGAACAATAACCTTTGTTGTAGCCAATCAGATGCCAGTTTGATATGGATTTGGCCAGAGCCCTTCGTCGCGCTCCGTTGACCGCTCGTAAGAAGGGCTCTGGGTACGAGGATGACCTGGAACAATAAACTCAATAAAAATAAAGTAACTGTCTCTAGTATTCCAGATGACTTGCTTCAGTTTATACAGGATTGGCATGACCACGGTTTTTGTCCTAGGTTTTTGCTTCATTTTCGAGCATATCCTACAAAAATTAAATAATACTTGTAAAAATGTATTTAAGGCTTATCAATAATGTAATTCTTTTTTACATTACATTTTATATTATGGGAAACAATCGACTTTTCACATAAGATTTTTTTATTTATTGCTGTATTATTCTTGTATTGTAGTTTTTATACTTACATGTGATACCTCTTCCACATCTGTCACACTTAATCCAATTTATTTTTTTAACATGTTTGCTTGAAAGCGGGCTTGATCACTCGCATATCTTACATTTTTCATTAGCTTGTTTTTTCCCTATATAATAATGTGTGTGTTACTAATGAATTCTCGATTATCCTTTATAATAAAGAATGTTCTAATTAACTAACTTTGTTTCTGGCTCGTCTGTACGTCTTCCCAATGCTTTTTATATAAGAACAGAAAAATAAATTATTAATAAACCAGTTCTCTCATATTTGAGGGTTTGATCAGTCATACACGAAACATGACTGAATAACAGAGGCAGAGAAGGATCTTACTTAAGTTTTGTAAATGTTCACCATATGACTGATTTGATCCAAATAAATTTGATAGCTATTACCAGCAAGCTATTTCTTTGAAATTTCAAAGCCTTGACTTCTTGTGTTGGTTGCATTCTACCGCTCATATATTTTAAGTAATGGCTTAAATAGTATAAATTTATGACTAAACTTATGATGTTATTCGACGGCTCTACCGCCTAAAGAGCAATAAATATGATTCTTGTAAAGATGGGCTCCAGGCTGTCAAAAGACTGGATGAACTACAAGAATTTGAGCGACATCCTAGCAAGTACAGGCAATGTGACAGAACTTATTGGGAAAATGGGATAATGGAGGAACGACAAAAACGACCACGTCTTAGTGTGACCCCACTGGAAGGTGATGCAGATGAAATAAATATTGATAAATTAAATCATGCAGAACTTAAAGCTAAATTAAAGCAGATGAATGTGAAAACACGAATTAAGAATGTAGACAGACTCAGTTGTTGAAGGACCATATTTATGCAGCCCAATAACCCATATAATAATCAGCTACACAAAGAGGTTTAGACTTTTAAAGAGGGATATAGTCCACTTTCAAAAGAATTTGACATGCCTCATATCTTAATATACAAGAATGGAAAACTTACTATTGTGGCAGTGATCTCGGCAAATAAATTGCTTCGATGTAAGAGCAATAGGTAGTTGTAATGAGAAATGCATATCCTTCCATAACTTGATATGAGGGATGTCATTTGATCTTGAAAGTGGTATATTATATAATATTAATATGAACAGTTTTTAGGATATATACATGATTAATGATATTATTTTTAACTATATTATATATTGTTAGGATTACATGCTCTTTTTACAAAATAAATACTTAACTTTTCAGTATATAATATAGGAGCTTTCACAATTGCTCCATCATCCCCCACAACAAAATCTTTCACACATGATTTCCCCAGGAATGGCCTTACTTTTATGGGAAAATCGATTGCTCTTCCTGTGCCATGGAGATTCATGATATAACTCCAATGATCTGGCCAATCGACAAACCTAACAAAGTCTTCCTTTTGATATAATTTGCTACCTCTTTTGATAGCTTCCCCTTTACCTTGCATTAGGTATCTCCAAACATCAAGGTGGAATGGTACATATAAATGAACATCCACCCCAGATGACTTCAGCCCATGTATTATGGTTGTTCGAAGAGCAAAACACGACTCTTCGACCCTTGACATGTCTGGCTGTGGATGATCATAGCTCCTGTCAAAAATACAACACAGATTATTATTTTAACAATCATGTCAATTTTAACACTTTTAGGCATTTGTGTGTGTGCTTTTTTCAAATACTCTACATTCAGAGGAACACAGTTGATAGTACATACCATCATATCATTCATATGGCTTATTATGACCTATTAATAGCATCAATATGAAATTAATATTAGGATGTTAAGGTTTGTAATCCAAGTGAGAATATATACATTTTAAGACCTAACCAGGAACGACTGCGAAAAATGCAGCACAAGGTCCTCTGGTAGGAATCGAACCTACGGCCCTGCGATTCCGGAGCAGCGCTCTAACCAACTGAGCTACAGAGGCCAGCTGTTGAGCTGTAACCATATGTTCATGTATATATAGGTAATCGGGTGTGCGGGTAGTGATAAGGTGGACTTGAATAACTTAGTTCTTGCACTTCACTTGGTGGAATTAATATTAGGATGTTAAGGTTTGTAATCCAAGTGAGAATATATACATTTTAAGACCTAACCAGGAACGACTGCGAAAAATGCAGCACAAGGTCCTCCGGTAGGAATCGAACCTACGGCCCTGTGATTCCGGAGCAGCGCTCTGACCAACTGAGCTACAGAGGCCAGCTGTTGAGCTGTAACCGTAAGTTCATGTATATATAGGTAATCGGGTGTGCAGGTTGTGATAAGGTGGACTTGAATAAGTTAGTTCTTGCACTTCACTTGGTGGAATTAATATTAGGATGTTAAGGTTTGTAATCCAAGTGAGAACATATACATTTTAAGAGCTAACCAGGAACGACTGCGAAAAATGCAGCACAAGGTCCTCTGGTAGGAATCGAACCTACGGCCCTGCGATTCCGGAGCAGCGCTCTAACCAACTGAGCTACAGAGGCCAGCTCTTGAGCTGTAACCGTAAGTTCATGTATATATAGGTAATCGGGTGTGCAGGTTGTGATAAGGTGGACTTGAATAACTTAGTTCTTGCACTTCACTTGGTGGAATTAATATTAGGATGTTAAGGTTTGTAATCCAAGTGAGAACATATACATTTTAAGACCTAACCAGGAACGACTGCGAAAAATGCAGCTTAACTTAGTTCTTGCACTTCACTTGGTGGAATTAATATTAGGATGTTAGGGTTTGTAATCCAAGTGAGAATATATACATTTTATATACATATACATCAACTTACGGTTACAGCTCAACAGCTGGCCTCTGTAGCTCAGTTTGGTAGCCTCAAGGGTGGATCTACAACAAAATGCCTTCTGGATATGCTACACAACTGGCTATCAAATGCTGATAAACAAGGAAATTCGTTACGAGTCTGTCTACTCGATTTTAGCAAGGCCTTTGATCGTATTAACATCAATATCCTGATTGAAAAACTCTTAAATTTAGGAGTACGTAGGTGTTTGATCCCTTGGATATGTAATTTCCTATCAGATCGAAAACAGCGAGTAAAACTCGGAGAAACGGTATCGGACTGGATGTCAGTAAATGCAGGAGTTCCACAAGGCACTAAATTAGGTCCTATTTTGTTCCTTATTATGGTAAATGACCTTATTCCACTTAAGAGCGATTATTGGAAATATGTAGACGACATGTCGATTTCGGAGGTAATACCAAGAAATGGTGTTTCAAATATGCAGTCAGAACTGGACCATATATCATCTTGGGCCACTAACAACTATATGAAACTGAACACGAAAAAATGTAAAGAACTTAGAATAAGTTTTCTTCGCGATAAACCCAACCTTTCCCAACTCTACATCAATGGTGCTCCAATTGACACTGTCAATAGCGCTAAAGTTCTTGGAATTTCTCTTCAGAATGACTTGAAATGGAAAAGTCATGTTGACAATATTACAAAGAAAGCTGCTAAACGGTTATATATCATACGTGTCTTAAAGCGTAATGGACTTCCTGTTGATGATCTAATAACAATCTTCAAAACATTAGTCAGATCAATCCTACAATATGGTTGCCCAGTCTGGCACTCGAGTCTTCCGACGTACTTGTCTGATAAAATTGAGAAAATTCAACGAAGAGCTTTCCGAATTATATATCCATTTCAATCGTATAATGATGCACTTTCAATGTCTGGTTGTCTGTCATTAGCGGAAAATAGACAACAATTATCTCAAAAACTTTTTAAACAAATTAAGTCGACTAGTGGTGATCGTCTGTCGTATCTCATACCAGAAACCAGATTTCAGAAACATGGCCGGAAACTTCGAAACAGTGAAAATCTCGACATTTTTAAATGTAACACAAATCGGTTCAAAAACAGTTTTTTCCCAGCTAACGTTAGTTACTGCAACTCAAATAGATAAGCCCAAAATATTTTTAGACATTTTATAGTAGTATAATAAGTTGTAGATATTTATATATATATATATATATAGATTTTGGATTCTCTAGATGTAAATGTAAAGTAATTCACCAATTGGTGCATTTTACATAATAATAAACCATTATTATTATTATTATTATAATTATAATAGAAGCGGCTGTGACAAAACACGTTGCATCTAACAAGTGTTTCAATGGCGACCTCACCTAAGACGGTTTACAGGGATGGAACAAAATTATGTTATATTCCTGGAACAAATCCTCCTGAACCATTTGTGTTGATGCGATATAAGGAAGCCTCAGGATTGGGCTATTCAAAAATAACCTTTTTCTTAGAGGTTCGAAATGTGATAGCAGACCTAAGAGAAGTCATCGAGTCTGATTCACACTCAGATGATATTGATGATGATGATGATAATAGTTTTACCGCTACAGCGAGTCGACCAACATTTGGTGAAAATGAACTGGTGGAAATAAGTCAAAAATCCGAAAAAGAGCCATGCGAAGTTACAATGATGGTGAACTGCCCAACATGTGGTGGGAAATACCCATTTTCTGAAATTGAAGAGCATGCCGATTTATGTGCCGATTATTTTGTGGAACAACCAGATCCACTTCCTGTGGACAAGGCAGTAACACCTACTCTCAAGGACCAAGGTAAGGGGCCGACCATTTAACTTTTGAGGGGGGTGATTTTGAAAAAAACTTTCCTGCAAGGCCATTCTGAACAAAAAAAAATACCTGCACTAACAAACTGAGGGAAAATTTATCCTGCCCCATTATTTGGTGGGAAAAAAAATGTTGCAAAACAGCATCGTTGCAGGGATCGATTTGACCAGTCCCAGAAGATCAGCTGGTTTGATTTTCAGGGACTAGTGTAAGGTTAATTTCTTGTTGGAAAACTCCTCAAACTGCTGGAACTAGCTTATCTGAGCTTCAAGAAATCCAAAATTTTCTGGGGGGCATGCCCCCAGACCCGTCTAGCGGCTCCCACCTTTGGTGGTCGACTCGGTTGTCTCAGAATCCTAGGTATGGCCTGAATTGCTGCCTTATGGCGCATTCTTATTAGTTAAACCATGCATAAATACGCTGCAGGTAGCTGCAGCAACACAGACTTGCCGACTGGAACTTCTCCAGGTCCCCCGCTAAATATGTCCCCTCCAGTTACACATCCTTACCGGGATGTAGCAACGGGGGGGGGGGGGGGGGGGCGCCCCCCCTCCCCAATAATTTGTTAATAATCTTTTTTTTTTCAAAATCATGCAGACCTTTATCATTTAATCCATGACAAACTGCAAAGAATGAAAATATTACCCATACTTTCCTGCAACTTATACAATATATAGTTAATTAAATATGCCTTCGCCCATTTAGTACTACTAAATTGTAAATTTCAACATACTAAAACGCTCCAGTCTAGTGTCTTCATCAGGGGTGATCTAAAATTGCAATCGTGGCTTCTTAAATACACAAGGGATGACGTCACTTGCCAATGAGATGCATACATTCCTCTGGCAAATAGGCACCGTCATCCCTATTATGATTACTCATATTTATTTAGACAAGGGAAAATCAGCTTCAGCCGAACATGTATGTTACACCAAACACGAGATTGCGTGGGAAAACGCTAAAGTAATTACCACAAACAATCGCTATGGTCAAAGACTTTGCCTAGAAGCGTGGCATATAAATATGAGTAATCATGCTTTGAATAGGGATGACGGTGCCTATTTGCCAGAGGAATATATGCATCTCATTGGCAAGTGACATCATCCCTTGGGTATTTAAGAAGCCACGATTGCAATTTTAGATCACCCCTGATGAAGACACTAGACTGGAGTGTCGATACGTTGGGTTTTGATTACAATTCGACTGGGCTTTGTAATCATTTATTTAAACCAGAGTAGCGAGCGAAACATGATTGATATACCTGGTTGCAGTGAACGAACAAACTTTCAATACTAAAACGCTGTTTTCTGACCATCAGAATTCTGTCAAATCTTCTCCAAAGTCCCGGAAATGGCATTTCAGAGACTCTAAATTTAAAAATTTCCTCAGGCCCTGCCTTAAAAGAGGCCAAGCAATGCATGAAGCTAGAAAACTCAACGTTAACTATATAATTAAAGAATCTAAATAGTATAAGCTATTGAAAAAAAATGCTGCGAAAGAGAGTGGGAAAAAAATTGTACATGGTGTCGAATAATTATTGGTGAAGAATAATTATTGTAAACAAGTACAGTATTGTTGAATAGTCAACTTAACCCATTGAGTGCCAGCACTCCCCAGGGACGCCGGAACAATGTGAAGGCAACAGGGACAGATTTTCATGGAAGGGCACTTTTGAATTGATATATACTAAGAGATGTTTGCCAAACATCAGGAGTTGAACTTCGCGTAATTATGTTTTCTATTTATCGGATGATTGGGGTGTGAGGGGGTTCTCCGCCAGGCGATTGTGCTATTCTTGAAGCTCGATGACTGCATTTCTTGCGTTTTCTGAAGCAAATTCGTAAAAGAATTGCACTAATATTTCTGACAATTTGCTATTTCGCCAAGGCAATCCTTTAAGTTGAAAGGGCAGCTTGGCCCCCCTTGCCCCTCCTAGTAAAGGGCAACGGGGACGGCTGCCCCTCCTGCCCCCAGTTCAGGCATGCCGGACTCTCCCCCTGACAAGTAAAATCGTCTGGCGTCAGACAGAATAGAATAATCTGGCGTTAGACAAAGTAAAATAATGGAAGGATTAATTGAATTATTGTACAAATTTTTTGCAGACTTGAAATCTTGCCAGCCCTTTGGTTTTTAGTTTTGGAAGCTTTCTTTTTAGGAAAATTCTTGTTCATCTTGCTAACAAGAATTTCCTTTGTTATCCAAGGTGTTATATATTTTTCTTACCAACCTTACAAGTTTTAAGCGGAGCATGTTTATCAATAATTTCAGGAAATTTGTTCTTCCAGATGTACTACAGTGGGTTTGGATCAGTGTAAGATAGTAAGATTCAAAATGTATTGAAATAATTGTTAAATTGTCCTTAAAATCTCAAGATTCAATAAATTGTTCCTCCCTAAGTAAGTAGTGATCATTGAATTTTTTTAATACCATATGTCAAGTAGTGATCACTAATTGTTATTTTTTAATCTCTCTCTGAAACAATATTTTGTTTCCTATTGGTATAGAAATGGTCAATTAATTAATGACTTCGAAAAAATAGTTTCTCTTGTACGTTTGTCTGTTGATTGTTTGTATTGATACAAGGTGGTTACATAGTCGAAGTTGAGTTTTTTTTACAATGTCTGAAAAAAAAGCTCTGGTAGATGAGATAATGCTTTTGAAGGATGTTATGCACAACCAGAGGTCATCAGATTATCACTTAGACGAAAGAGTCTTTGGCTTGATTACAGCAATGCAAGGAAAAGCAGTTATCACGCTCATCCCATTAAAATCACATTTTGTGTTGAACAAGCCATTGATGATGGTGGCCCGAGGCAAGAGTTTTTTTCAGGTATGAGAATATTCCATTTTAAGGATTCATATTAATAGGTTTTCCCTGGAAATATGACTGACTATCCATTTAATTTGTATACCCTTGACTTTTCATGTACTAATTACAAAATCAATGCTATTATACTCATGTGCATACAAACCAATTAACCCATTGAGTGGCAGCATCGCCCCGACCTAAAATTGCCTAGTATTAGACAGAGTAAAATAATAAAGTAGGGCGCATCTGGGCAGATTGCCACTTACAGGGTTAACATAAAAGATGGCTACTGCATAGCAGGATAACCAATGCAGATGTTAATAGCCAGAGACAGACCAGGTTTAATCATTTTATTCTGCCTAATGCTAGACAGTTCAATTTTTTTGCCTACCTGGCATGAGTATACTGAGAGTAAAATGTATGTCAAAAACTGGTGAATGTAGCATTTGGGGTCAGAGTCTGAAATTTGCAGTAGCTATTAAGGGTCTGAAATTTGCAGTATCCCAATATTCACGGGATGCTAAAATTTGGTTTTGGATTACAGACTGTGAATGACTTATATCCCAACTGGATACTAAGAAAATTTCAAACATTGATAGCTTTTGAATACTGTCTATGAGTTTGCCACCAAAGCCTTTCCTCATATAATGTGCATTAATTAATGAATTGTCTAGTTGTTGGCGACTTGACTGTTGAATCACCTGTTGTTATTATTGTAATTTGTAACAGCGAGAGTTATTGGATGGGACAGGGTATAATACTTATGGTAACCAGTATCCAGAAGTGCGATACTGCATTCTCAGGGGGGTACTAAACTTTGAATCCTGGTATCCAAGTTGGATACTGAAAAGATATATATTTAAATTTCAGACCCTGCTATATCTCAATATCACACAGGATACCAAAAATTTGGTTTTTGGATACCAAACTGTGAATAAATTGTATCCCGACTGGACACTAAGAAAATATCAAACATTAAGAAAATGTTAAATTAATCACCTTTGTTGGGCTCCTGATAGCTTTAATTTGAAAACTGTCAGTTTGCCACTAGTCTTTCCTCTAGATATAAAAGATATAGTCTATGGTACTGGTAACTAGTATCTAGAATTGGGGTACTGGATTCTCAGGGGATAGTAAACTTTGAATCTGGTATCCCAGTTGGATACTGAGAAAAGTATAAACTTCAGACCCTGTTTGGGGTGTTACAATACATAAGTGCTATTATTTTTAGAACAACATACAGTAGCTACTGTAACATCAACATATGATATATATTACGTTTACACAGTTATGTTGGAGTACTGCAGATCAAGGCTTTTCTCGGAAGGAATTCCCATAAATTCAGTAATGGCCTTAGCAAATGAAGATTTTAGAGTGCCAGGAGAATTGATGGCAATGTCGATTGTGCAAGGTGGACCAGGGCCTTATCTTTTTTCTTCTGTGATATACAACATCATAAACAAGGACCTTGCAATTGAGGACTGTAAGAGTAGTTTTATAAAGGACACATGCCAAAAGGTTTGTCAAAAACTAAACACTTTCACTTTAAAGGTACTGTAGTGTACCGTCTGTATGTAAATTAACATGCTTACATTTCGGTATTCAAAATATTGAACTTTATTCAACAACTATTTATATTTTCATGCTTCTACAGTATAGTAAAAATCAAGCTACAACAATCAGGCTTTGCAAGAACATAAAATGAAATAAAAACCTAATTAATTTAAAGTGTTTATATCACGGCAGGAGACTCCTATGTGCGCATGCGCAGACCGGACTGTACCCTATATTTAACCCCATTAAGTTGGCATGGCTATTCCTTAGTAAGAGGAACAAAATCATCTGGGACTAAGTGCATTGCCACTTAAGGAGTTAACCCATTTAAGCTGCAGAACATCCCCACTGACGAGTAAAATTGTCTGGCGTTAGACAATGATCCAGTTATTGATTAACCCATTGAGCCGCAATGCACCCCAGCTAGTGCACCCTACTTTCTTACTACTTACGGGGGAAGCTCTGCAGTTTCATGGGTTAATAAACTTATTGACTTTACCAATCTTAGCAATCTATTCTGACAATAATACATTGAGCGGCAGAGCCCCCCCCCCCCCTTACAAGGAAAATTGCCTGGGCATTAAGGCGGTTATCCAGTCCTCGCACGAAGCTCCTTGCAGCTCGCTGCGAGTGCTTGCATCTAATAAAAATTAACTGTTTAGCATTGTGATTGGATGAATGTGCTCATGCATGCACTCGCAGTGAGGAGCTTCATGCAAGGGATGGAAATCCGCCTTTCGGCAAGTGAAAAAGGTAGGGTGCACTGGAGCTTGCACATTGCCACTTAATAGCTAAGTTTACTGTTATTTGATTTCCGTTTAATGAAGTTAATCGATGCCAGTGATAATGAAATTAAGGGAATCCTAATGGATGACAAAGTCCTTGACATTCTTGAAACAGTTGGATATAATGGTGTACCTTCTCGAGAAAACAAAGACTCTGTAAAGAAAATCATTGAGTATGTATTAAAAATTAATATGGCCACGTTATATTTAGCTCCGTTGAAATCTACATTATTAATACTTTTAATAACTTCTTTGGAATCGTGGTACGGTTTAAAATACCCTAGATCTATCACAGAACCTTTCAGGGATGTCGAAACTACAAATTCAACGGCGCATCAGCAACTATTCTTGCCTTTTTCAAATTCTTTAATGACAGCGAAGCGAATGTCGAATAAATCGAAGCTTCGATGCAGACAGTTCAGATGGCATAAACATGGCTATATTAGCCTAGCTGTACCCGACTCGGAACCTGTTATCAATATAACCATATACATGGACATTTCGCTTAATCCTGGCCCAGAAACTGGGAATGACACAGTATGTAATTTAAGTTTGAACGGAAGAAAGACGGCATCTTGTATTCAACCGCAGCATGCTGTTGGTAGCCGCTTATCTTTCTCTCCGGACATGTCGACGAGCTTACGCCGTAACTTGGAGTGTCGTACACACATGGCTTGCTCCCAATTCCTGACAGACCTCGAGAATTCAGGCTTATTGCATTGTTATGGGAAGGCTGGGAGACAACAAGAAAATATACTATCTGATTATAAAAAGAACAACATTGAGACCCTCGTCACGCATCGACCACCATGCAAATCTGCATATGCACAGAATAGAACAGTAAATGAAAACAACATAATAAACATAACACTGCTCCCTGATACTCACGCTGCAGATATTAACAACAATAGGATCGGTGAACTGTTTACACTATGTGTACTTAATGCACAGTCACTTAACAACAAGGCTGCTCAATTTATCGACTATGTTGTTGATTGCAAAGCAGATATTGTATCACTCACTGAAACTTGGTTTACAAACACTGAGTCGGCTACTAGAGTATTGTGCACGCCAAATGGATACAATCTCCTCGACCACCCCCGCTCTAATCGTGTAGGTGGTGGGACAGGAATTTTATTTAAGGAGAATATTACTGTCAAAAAACTGGCTGCTGGCGAACTTCGTTCCTTTGAATACTCTGAATGGAGCGTTGTTAATGGATCTCGCCGCCTACATTTAATAATTGTGTATCGACCACCGTACTCAGACGCTCATCCGGTGACTACAAGTGTATTTTTCTCCGAGTTTACCAACTTCTTGGAATCAATTACCTTTGTCCAACGACCCTCTCCTAATAACGGGTGATTTCAACATCCATGTCGACTGTACGGACAACTTAGATTCCATTAAATTCCTTGATCTCCTTGAAAGTACCGGACTTAAACAGTATGTCAGAGGCTCCACTCACTGCTCTGGCCATACCCTTGATTTAATAATCACCAAGCAGACTGATAATATCATCACCAGCATTCCGAGGGTTGACGATTTGTTTTCTGACCATAACGCTGTTCTTTGTAACCTTGATTCTAACGCAGTACCACTAACACAGAAACATATTTCTTTTCGTAAACTTAAATCTGTCAATATCGAGGCTTTAAAAGAAGAAATATCCTCTTCCGACCTCTGTAAAAACCCACCATCCAAGCTGATAGACCTGGTTTCATGCTATATTAGAGAGTTTGAGCAAGACAACGAAGTACGAAGACGAAGGCATACTTGACAATTTTTGCCGTCTACACATTATCTTGTGCATACTGTGTTGGACATCACTAGTGGTTGCTCAACGTGTCTTCCCATGTGTCGCTGTTTATGAATACTGACCATAATTCTTCCCCTGATCCAGAAAAAAACAGCGAGACATGAAACTATATCCCGTCTTTTTCCTTGTGTTTTCGTGCAGAACGAAGTTCACAACAAATTTCGCCAAAATATTTGTTGTGAACGAAGGCCGAAGAACGAAGACGGGATATGGATTCATGTCTTGCTGTTTTATCCTGATCAGGGTAAGGATTTGGGTCAACATTCATAAACAGCTAGACATGAATCTGTAATCTGTCTTCACTCCTGACCCTAAACTTAGAATGCGCAAGATAATGTTCAAGACAGGCAAAAATTGTCAACACGTCGTCGTCGTCCGACTTCGTTCTCTTGCTCAAACTCTCTAATAATACCTTGATGACTGCTCCAAATCATCAAGCGCCACTGATCTCCAAGACTATTACCACCAGGCCTGCGGTCCCATGGTACAATGATGAGATTAAATGTGCAAAGCGTTTGAGAA